ATATAGATATGATATAGGCAAGGAGATAAATATTTATGTGTTTTAAAGAAAATTTTGAAGGAAGAAAATACAAGCAAGATACGATAAGAATGAGGTTCTGTATAAGTGAAGTTGATTAGTAAAGTTATAAAGATATAATAAAGATTGGTAATCAGAGATAAGTTTAAGTGATAGGAATAGAGTATGTGAACATAAAAGAAAGATATGATTGGTGTATAAGAAGATTTTGATTTATGAAGAAAATGAAAGGATGAAGTTTAAAGAATTAGATGTGATAAAGATTATGTTGAGATATAGGTTATAAGTTTAACCAGAAGTAAGAAAGGTATATCAAGTAATATGAGAAATTGTTTAGTTATGCAAAGTGTATGTTTAATCAGTTATGATGAAGATTTAAGGTTATGTTTCTTGGTCAAGTGGATGTAGTCAAAGAAATGAATAAAGATTTATATGTATTAATGAAGTTTTGGAGTCAGTCAAGTAAAGATGAAATAAAAGTTTGGTGATTCTTGAAAGACAATTGAAGATTGACAAGGAATTTGATTGATTTATGAGTTTGAGTAATAAGAATTAATGTTATTGTCTATCTGATAAGTGACATGATAGGAGATATAAAGTAAAAAGGTAGTCGAATAATTGAAAAGATAAGAACCAAGTTATTAAAGATGATACAAAAGATTAAGTTCAGAAAGCAACATGAGAACGTTAGAAGATATGTTCTTCTCAGGATGTGCAGTGAAAATTCGAGGATGAATTTTTAAAAGGAAGGGAGATTTGTAACATCCCAAACTATGGGTTAGTGACCAAATTGTAAAGTTTCAGAATTTGGTGACTAAAGTAGAAGAATGGATTAGTTCAGTGATTTATTTGGAAGTATTTCCTAAAAGTTGTTAGTAATTATTAAAGGAACTAAAGGGTAAAATGGTCATTTGATCATTTAAGGAATTAAAAATGTGATAGTGAGGATATATATATTTTTACACGTGGGAGTGTAGGAAACCAAAAATAATGTCTCTAGAATTCTTAGGTGATACTTAAGCTTAAGGAAAGCTTAAGTTATCTTAAGATCAAAAGATAAATGAGTTAGGGAAGATTAAAGATTTGGAGTTCTTGAGTAAATTTCCAGAATGGAGTTGATAAGTTGAACTTGAAACTAAATTTGACTTGTCATCAGCTTAATTAAGAAGTATTAAGTGTTAGAATTAGATTTGAAACATTTGGAAAATAGGGTATGATTCTTGAAATTCCTATAGAGGAGAGGATATTAAGGTTAAAGATGAGATAAATGAATATTAATGAGTTTAAGTATGTATATGTAAGTTAGGAATATGAAAGGGGTTGAAATATGAAGGATTTAATCCAAAAAGAATGAATTTTCGGGTTCAAAAAGAGGATTTTGGGAAGAGTGCATCAATGCATATTCATAGTGCACCGATGCATCAAGGTTAAAACCCAGAAATTGTTTGAAGGTGTATCGATGCACAAGTAGTGCATCGATGCACTCTTTTAATCTAAAAATATCGAATGCAATTGGTGCATCGATGCATAAGGCATGCATCGATGCATCCCAGTAATAAACAAACATCGAATGTATTTTATGCACCTATGTACAGGTAGTGCATCGATGCACCGATAGGGAATGCATCGATACACTGTGCAGTGCATCGATGCATACCTTCATTAAAAGATGAAATGGGCTTTTCTTTTAGCCTAAGAAGTGACAATTTAGAAGATATCAATTAGTATACTGATATGTATCAATGTATTATTATGATGTAGATATAGAATAAAGCTTGTTCCGGAACAATATAAGGATTAAGATTGATTCAAAGCAAACAAGGCTAAGGTGAGTGCACATTCTCTAGTATATGAGATTCAAGGGAAAATAAGACTTGTGATAAGTCTATTTCCAATAGTGAAAAACATGAATTCATAGAAGTATGTATTTGTTATGATTTATATGTGTGCATGAGTATATGTGTTATTGATATGAATATGGTAAGTAAAAGGGATTAATGGTGATGATAAGAATAATGATAAGGATAATGAAATGATAGGTATATGTGAATATAGGTATTGATGTGTTTTGTATGTATTGTAAGATGATATGTTTATGTGATAACATGATAAGATGATAATGATTTACATGTCATATGAACACATGAGAAATGTTATGAGCCATATGAAAGAGAAAATATATGTGATACATGAGGGTGAATCCTATGTTTATATGAATATGAACTCATATGAGAATTGACATGAACTACGTGATTACATGTATATGTGAATGAAACCATGAGCTTATATGAATATATGATATGGTTACATGAATATGTAAAAGGATATAAAAGATAATGCCCATGTTATGTGTCATGAGAGCTAGGGGTATAGTTGGCATGCCAAGAGTCGAGGGTCTATGTGGTCCTTCGGGACATATATGTATTCTTTGGAACATGTGTGAAGTCTGGTGAGACACATACTTGATCCTTGGCATATGTATATGATTCTTAAGGAATGATATGTGGTCATTCGGGACATATATGTATTCTTTGGAACATGTGTGAAGTCTGGTGAGACACATACTTGATCCCTAGTATATGTATATGATTCTTAAGGAATGATATGTGGTCCTTATGGACATTATTATATGGCACTACAGTGCAATTCTACGCGGCACTCCGGTGCAATTATATGTGGCACTTCGGTGTAATTATATGAGCTGTGGTGACAACATTAGTGCACAACCTCTATGTACTCGCATATCTTTAGTTCTCACATGTGTATCATGGGCTATTAAATAGATAATATTAATAAAGTGATATGATAATATGTTTGTTTCCTTGTGGAATTTCATGTGTGATATTGATTTGTACAAATGATAACTTATAAGACCATATGATGAAAGGAATCAATGATAGTATATATATATAGTTTACATGACATGATATGTATATGTGCAATTGGTTATGGTATATGTTATATGATATGGACATAAGAGATCATAGGAACATGAGATAAGAAATATGAATGATAATGACATATATGTATGCATATATTTGTTACATGTAAAAGTATGAGTGGTATGAAATGATAGTAGTAATTGTTTAGGTATGATTATTAGTTACCGTTTACCTTATATGTTTATATGCCTCACTAAGTCTTTGACTTAGCGTGTAAGTGATTTACACGTAGGTTGCGAGAAGAGTAAAGAGCAATGTGGAGCAAGACAGGTCAGTTCTCCTTACTAAAGGTCAGATCAGAAAAGATGTGAATAATATGTATTTTAGTATATAAAGTTATAGTTGGCATGTTTTCAAAAGAATATATTGTTTAAGCTATGAACAGTTTTATAAATGTTTCGAATAGTTATATGTAAATAAATAAGTGAAATATACACGCTCTGATTGGTTTTGTAATAATGAAAATGTCTTTTATGTAAATTAGTCATTTATGTGTTATAAAAGTTTTAAATTACTCACTATTTTATACAAGTACATGTTTTAAAAGGTCAATGTGACACCTCGGATTCATATCCGGGTCGGATACGGGTTGGGGTGTTACAGAAAGCTAATATGATGACTGGAATATGATAGTCTTTTGAGATTTTGGGATCATATTTTATCATATTACAATCAACATGTTAATGTTCAACTTAGAATTTCGTTAATTTTTTAACGAAAAGGACGAGTTTGTAACATATGAATAGTCGGGTGACTATTTTGTAATTTTTAATAGTCGAAGGACTCAACAAAGCAATACTCTATAATTGAAGGACCATTTTGTAACTTTTAATAATCGAGGGACTTAATAAAGTAGTACCCTATAACCAGAGGACCATTTCTGTACTTCACCATTATTAATATATTTTAAAACCAAATATATATTATTCGAATGGGCCCGACGTACGTGTCTTAGGTGACTTTCACGGTAAAGGAATTGTTGTTATTCCTTGGGGATCATAGGTGTAAACGTTTAATGTCGAAATATCGAGAGTTATATTTAAACATATACTGCCTTTTACTTACCCTAGATTAATAAAAAAATAAAAAGAATAGAATCCATCCATCTTTCCATCTTATTTTTTTAAGGTGAATCTTCACATGTTTCCTACATGTAAATAAGGGATGTGTAGCTATTTGAAAGTTATTTTAAAATGGATAGATCCTATTAGTTGAAATCATAGATGATGGGATCACAAATGAATTAGGTCATCTAATAATTTCTCCGTAAACTTCGTTTCGAAGAAGACGACATTCTGTGCATTAGTAGCACCTGGAACAAGCATCAAAGAGGGTGTCCAAGACATAGTTATATATGATTTTTTACACAAATTATAAGCATAAATATACAACGATCGATGTTTCCAACTCTGTGGATGAGTTTCATCATCCTTCTTCAGGGAAGCAAAGTGCGCAACATTGACAGCACCCGATGCAAGCTACGGCACCGAGCACTTGCGTTAATATGACCGCACATTGGTTATTCATCTTTGAACAGCAGTCGAGGCAGCACACACAACAGCAGCTTTTACACTGCTGACCAGACAAATTTGAACTTGTCTTGTTCAGAATTTCCACCACTTCCTGTAAATTCTCTTCGTCGGATCCCGGACGGATGTTCTCGGCACTCGCGGCCAGATTGCCGAAGCCGACTGTGAGTATTTGAAGCAATATCCTTTTCGGCTCTGCCTCAGACTCCAAAAGCTTGCGTGCACTGCCTTTATTCGATACCTGTACTCATACAACACTTTCTCCTCATAAGATATTGCAAGTTGCATGGAGTGGATGATACTGTGGTGTCCTATAGCCTACCTTCTGAGCTCCGGCGACTTCGGTTTCGTTGTCGATTTTAGTTTTCTCGATTAAGAATATACGTGAATACTCAGAGATATTGCAAGTTCTTATGCTCAAAATGACAATCTGCCATTTACAAACCAATAATATCAGAGACGGTCATTTAGCCTACTAATTGTGGGAGGAAGAAGTCGAGAATACTGAGAAACAACCTGCTCCTCGAGCTGTTTATTTTACGAAAACCATGCCTGCGCCGTGAGTAGATCGATCTGCTGCCTCGCTATAACCTGCAAGAGAAGAATGAAAACATATATACAAATCCAAGAGCAAATCATTGGAGGTATACAGGCGCCTTACTTTGTCAAGAAGTATGTCCTTGGCCTTTTCTATCTTCAAATCGATAATGAAACTACTTGAATCTCCTAGGACGCCTTTAGCTTTAAGAGTGTCGGGGAAACTGCCTCGGTACCTCCCGCATATTATCAGTGGCGTATCCGATGAAAGGTCGGGAATACATAAAGAGTACACCTATACGGAGGTATACATACAGGTAAAAAATATACATACCCGTATCAGATACATACTCGTATCAGACACTTATATTCAAGTTCATGTAACATAATGTCATGGATGAATGAAGCTTATAAAGGCACTCAGACATGCACATACCTCTATTTGCTCATGATCATCAAATGCATCAATGGATATGTTTGCAAGAACAGTGGATAAACCATTATTAAATAGTTTCTGCATCCGAAACTCGATCGAATCTGACAAAAAAAGAGGAACGTATAATACCAGTAAGATTGATGATATACAATGCAAACGTTCGGATACCGTTGTACATACAAACCTAGATTAAAAGCAGCAGCATATCCTCCCTGGCTAATCATGGACAGCATGCGCAGGAAATGGTGATTGCAGAATGATCCTGCAATGTCCCCATACAAGTTAAACAAGAAGCTATGGTGCAACTAATACTGTGTCAGTAGCTGAAAATATAGGACTTAGTTTACCTATGCCAAAAGTACGTATCAGTGGGGAGAATGACCCTCCATTTTTCACAACCTTATTCATCCACTCACAGATTTTTCTCTCATCTTCAACAGCTCCATCAGTAACAAGAAAAACCACGGGAATCGTACCGTTCGTGTTTGACAGCATATCGACCGCCTGACAAATATAAGTTTTAAGATCATAGGGTGCATTTTCTCTTCTCTTGAATCAATACAGAAAAAAGAAACAAAGGAAGTGCATAAACACCTTTTGAAGAGGAATAAAAATATTTGTACCAGCCCCATCACAATGGTTCTTGGCTATCCATTCGGAGGCCCTTTCGACTGCTTCGTCGGAAGCCGACACCATGGATTTGCAAAACAGAAAGGTCTCATCACTAAAAAGTATGATGTTAAATGGATCTTCCGGACTGAGCTTAGACAGGGCTGTGTTTATTGCACGTTTGGTACTCTCAAGTGACTTCCCTCGCATGCTGGCACTTACATCGACAACAAATATGACCTTTTTGAATACCTGTAAATCCAGTAGGCTAAAGATAGATATACCAGAAGGAAGAACCAGACTAGAAACCGAGGAAGGAAACGAATGCTATACCGACCTTTGTATCACGCTGACTTCCGGGGAAAAGATACATATAGAATGTCGTAACTCGTTTTCGTCCGGGCACGAAATATTTATTTGGCGGGAAAATTGATGTGAATAAATGGTTTTTGAAAATAATTTGAGAGTCGCCATCGGCCTTTAGGGTCAGGTAGGTCGAATACCTAAAAATTATTTTTTTAAAAGAGTTTTAAGAAAACATCAATTAAAAATTGAACTGATCTACGTTTATAACCAAAAATTCGTTCTTTTTAATAATAAAAAGGGATTCGTGGTCGGTTACGTTTAGGGAAGGATTAGCACCCCTACAACGCCCAAAATTGGTACTTTTTAATTATAAATTGTCTCTATTATTAAAAATTTAAAAATTTAAAATATATTTAATTTATAATCCTATTATTTCAAAATTATATAAAAAATATTTAAAAATATCGGAAAAGGACTTCTAGGTGCCTTAAGACAGCTCTTTTCTTTGATATTAATAAATATTAATTTGAATAAAATTAAATAATAATTTTTTATAATATTTAATTTTAAAATACCAGAATAGAACATCCAGTTGTATTAAGACTGCCCTTTTCTTCGATACTGAAAAATAAATGTTAAAAATAATTTATTAAAAAAAAATAAATATTTATTTATTATATATATATTTATGACTACATAATAATAATAAAAATATTTAAATATATAAACAAGTAAAATTAAAATAATAAAAATACAATTAGAACTATATATTTAAAAGCAATAAAATAAATAAAAATATTTAAAATTATTGACTAAATTATAGTAAATTAAAATTAAAAACCTAATTCAATATTAATCAAAATTATAGGGATTAAACATGCTATTTTCTTATTTATTAATTTAGTGACTAAAATAAAACTATATAGAATTCGGATATTAGAATAAAATAAATTAAAACATACTATTCAGATTAAAATATTAATTATTAAAATTATAGGACTAAATCTGTTATTTACCCTATATATATTATTTTAATATAAAGGACTAAAATAAATAAAATTGAAATTAAAGAACCGAATTAAAAGGATTATAAACTCGATTTAGTGACTAAAATGGAAAGTTTATAAACTAGGATGACTGCGGAAAGGATTTAACTATTAATAATTACACAAATAGCCCTCCCCGAAACGACGTCGTTCGGGAAGGGCTATTTAAAGCCAGAAACGGCTGGCCCTTCGGGCCAGCTCTCTCTCATTCTCCATTTTTCATTCTCTCTCTAACTGAGAGAGAATGAAAAAGCTCTCCCTTCTCTCTAGCTTCCCTCATCGGAGGGAAGCCGGTCACCGGACGGCAACCGTCTGCCGCCGTGACCCTCACCGCCGGCCACCGCATCCGGTTGCCGGAAAATTTTATTTTTACATCATTAGGTAGATCGGACCGTCCTAAGGACGGTTCCGGTGCTCTTTTCTCCTAAATAGCTCCCGATCGGAGCAAATCTAAAGAAATACCTTCGGTTTTCGAAGGTTTTGGTGAAGTTTGAAGAGGTCCGGTGGCTTCCTCGGTAAGCTTCTTTCCTTTCTTTTCGTTTCTGTTTTGGTTTACTGCGGATTGTGGGTTATTGTTCTTTGTTTTTGTTCTCTGTTTTTGCTGGTCTCTCTCTGTTCCTCTCTCCTTTTTTTTTCGCAGATGGGGTGATGGCTTTATAGCCATCACCGGTGTGGCCATCGGACCGGGTAAAAGAATACCCTTCGGTGAGTCACCGGACTCCCAGTGGTGACTCACCCCATAGCCATAACGTGGACGGCTGGCGTTGGAGCTTATGGAGCCTTCGGTTGGGGCGTGGCAGCGGCTGGAGCGACGTGGAGCGGCGGCAGCTGGTGTAGTCCCTAGGGTATCATAACCCTAGGGTTTCATCTGGCGCCATCTGGACCGTTGGATCAATGCTAGATCCAACGGTGGAGAAGCAAAGCGGCGACAGCTGGATAGAAAACCCTAATTGGGTTTTAGGGTTTTTGATTTGGGCCAGTTGGGTCCTTTGTAATTGGGCCGGTCCAATCTGGGCCTGTTTGTAATTATTTTTTAATAATAATAATAATAATAATAATAATAATAAAATGAGTAAAAAAAAATTTAGTATCTTCAGCTGCCCCTCTTTGCTCATTCTTGTGTTAACAAGAATAGGGCAAAGATGAAAAGATAATTTTTTTTATCCATTTGGCTTCACTTGATTAGTATGGAGATGTTGAATAAATTCTTCTTTTTCTTTCAGATGAGTTCTTCTCATTATGAACTTTCCACTGGGGATGATGTTGACCTCTTTTCTTCTGTGATAGAGTCATTCAAAAGGTTGAATAAGCTCTTCTTATTATGAACTTCTTCTTCAGATGAGTTCTTCTCATTGTGAACTCTTTCTGGAAATGTTGATGATGATATATCTCCTTTTATGATAGGGTTATGCAAAAGGTCGAACAAACTCTTCTCATTATGAACTTCTTCTTTCTTCAGATGAGTTCTTCTCATTATGAACTCTCTTATGAAAAGTTGATCTATCGAATGATGAATTCGAGCGAAAAATTGAACAAGTTCTTCTTATTATGAACTTATTATTCCTTCTTCAGATGAGTTCTTCTCATTATGAATTTTTTCTGGAGAAGCTGATCCATCAAATGATGGATTTGAGCAAAAGATTGAACAAATTCTTCTCATTATGAATTTCTTCTTCTTTCTTCAGATGAGTTCTTCTCATTATGAACTTTCTCTGGCAAAGCTAATCCATCAAGTGATGGATTTGAGCAAAAGGTTGAACAAATTCTTCTCATTATGAATTTCTTCTTCCTTCTTCAGATGAGTTATTCTCATTATGAACTTTTTCTGGCAAAGCTAATCCATCAAGTGATGGATTTGAGCAAAAGGTTGAACAAATTCTTCTCATTATGAATTTCTTCTTCCTTCTTCAGATGAGTTCTTCTCATTATGAACTTTTTCTGGCAAAGCTAATCCATCAAGTGATGGATTTGAGCAAAAGGTTGAACAAATTCTTCTCATTATGAATTTCTTCTTCCTTCTTCATATGAGTTCTTCTCATTATGAACTTAACTGACACTGTTGATCCATTGAATGATGGATTTAAATCTTTGCTAAAATCTTTGAAATTCCTGTTAAAAATTAAACATGGATGAAAATGAATGAAAATGCACCTATTTTTGCAAACGCCTAAAATATGATGCATGAATGTTAAGTTATTTGATTTCAGATTGGTGAATTGAGTATTTCTTCAATTGTAAAAACCCAATAGATATTTCTTCTTCAAATCAGAGAATCTATCATCTTTGACAAATGTAGATGTAGATATAATGTCACAAAACCTCTTGAGAATAAAACTCAATAGTATAGGCTCTTGAAAAGCTTGCATTCATGCAACATGTTGATTCTGATAACCACTCATCTGATTATGAAGTGACCTTTTCAGATGATTTCACAGATATCGATAGTTCTTTTAATATCGAGAAATCTTGAATTCTGATTCTGATGAGGAGAATAAACTGTTATACTTGACAAAAATGGAATTCTCAGAGGTTGAAGCTTCAATAGCCCTGGAGAAATGTGGTCCAGATTCATCAATTGCAGAATTGATAAATTTTATATGTGCTGCTCGAATGACTAAGGTTACTGACACATTTCTTCCGGTAAAAGATGGGAAGCCATTATGCGATGATCCCCATTACAAGAAAAGGCAAAATTTGGGCTATGATTTTTGAAAAGGAAGAAGTAGAGGAAGCTTGAAAAGAAGCTTCTTAATGAAGACGATCATGCAATTCATCTTTTAATTCCAATGATTGTTTCTGGGTTTTATATCAAACCAAATCAGATAACTCAAAGAATACTTCCAGAAGATGCTATTGGATCTCCTTATTTCTACTATGAACAAATTCATCTTTCAAATTTAATGATTGGTTATGTGGTTTCATATCAAACCAGATCAGATAACTCAAAGAACACTTCCAGAAGATGCTATTAGCACATTCCTCTTCCAAATTCAATAACTGGTTTTACCAAACCAGATCAGATAACTCAAAGAACACTTCCAGAAGATGCTATGAGCACATTTATCTTTCAAATTCAATGATTGGTTTTACCAAACCAGATCAGATAACTCAAAGAATACTTCCAGAAG